CGTGTTGGAAGTATGACCCTCTCAGGGTCGTACTTTTAAGGCTCTGTGACACTCACAGTTTCTCTGTTTCCTGGGACGGGTCATTTTTTTCTTCTTCCACTCCATCAGCATAGATGGCTTTATAGATAAGCTGCATCTTCATCAGTCTGGCTACAGAAATAAGTGAGCAAGCAGGGCCGCCTCTCCCAGCAGCCCCAGATCCAGCATCATAAATGCCAGAGGCAGAGTGTGTCCTCTAGAAAGAAAGAGAGAGAGAGAGAAGAAAAAGAAAGAAAGAGAATGTCATGTATTAGTAGATGCAGAGAGTTTGATTCAGTTGGGCACAATCCAGGTACAAGATGCAATTCTATCCCTGAGTTTGCCCAGCTAATGAGACCAAAGTACAAACCTGTAGCTCCTAATTCTGTTCCACCAGCTTTTTTATAGCATGAGGTGCAATGTACATCAGAGCCACGCACTGGATCATAGATGAGGGGTCTTCTTTCCAATCACCACCAAGACCTTCTCCCGCTTGCAGGAGTGAGTAATGCTAGCACGCACTGAACCCTCAGAGGCCTCCGTGACCCCCATTGTCCCACCTCAGGCTGGGAAGCATCAGCATCGTTGGATTTTCAGAGGCATGATGAGAGTCCCTGATAGTAACACTTCGAATGGTGCATTTTCCAGAGCGAGCTCATACCACGACTGACCTTCAAAGGGAATGCATTATTATGTTTATTGCAGAGTCAGGTCTCTGAAGATAGACTCCTACTCACCTTTAGGACTTCCCTGGGGATCTCTTATCATAGATCCTCTGCACACTGGGATGAAGGCCTTGTAAAATTAGACAAAGCTGCTTTATGGAAGATGTGCCTTTCCCAGAGGTGACTCAGCCCTATTCCAGCTCAGGCCTCAGACTGACCCGTAGCCCTCTTGTTTCCTTGGGACCTAACAGTAAGGCTGCATATACTAACCTATTTACTCCTGGCAGTAAAGCTGTGTGATAGGTCATATACCCTTTCCACAGACAGGAAAACTGGGCTGTAGGCTGCAGGCTTCCGGGAGGGCGGGGGGTTAATTGACCATCTTGGCTGGAGTTGTGGATGATGGAGCTGGAATTAGAGCTCGCTCTTCTGAGTGCTTGGTTGGTAGTGATATCACCAGTTGGCTCCACCCACAGCATGTAGCAGAAACTTCCAGAAGCCAGCACACCCTGAGAGCAGCAACTAGTTAGGTTTCCTCCTAGAGAAGTCTTAGAGCATTCCCACTTTACCTGTGGGGGGGACAGAATTGGGAAAGAAAGTGTCTTAGAGGGTATTTCTCAGGCCCACCCAGACACAGGTTACAGTTTGATTAGGAGCTCATTAGCGGAGGAGAAGCTGGATGCCATGTGTCATCTCTTCCCACTGACCAGTAGACATGATGAGAAGAAAACCAAAACGATAATTGAACACCTACTATGTACCAGGTTCAGTTCCTGGTGAGCAATAAGATGCGTGAGGAAATGGCCACACCCCGTGGGATTTGATCCATACATCATGGCTACTACCCACTGCAAACAGTATCTGCAACAAGTCAAGAAGGATGAACTGTGCTGAACTGTGGGATGGAGGGAAGCCCAGGAGCCAGGAGGGTCCTAGGCTGAGTCTTGAGAAAAAGGGCTTCCTATGACAGCAGTAACGATGGTGAGGTAGTATAGTTCGTATGTACTGGGCACCATGCCACCCAGTTCCTGTATCTTACCTTGTTAAATGTCCACAGGCCACGTGACAGGTGAATTCATCCCATCCGGAAGACAGAACAACTAAACATTAAAGAGATGATTGTGCAGTTTGCTAAAACTGCCGTAGCTTTGGTTGTGTCATTCATCTTAACATTTTTGTTTGTTTGTTTTAGCTCAAGAAGTTTGGTTGTAACACTCTTGGGAAGGGCTGCCGCCATTGACAGAGTGATCTCTGGGCACTTGTCTGCAGGGAGACCCTCAGTGCCTGAGTTCTGAAGGGGAGGCGAAGCAGCAAGGCTCTCCCAAGCCTCCCGGCGAGGCCAAAGAAGCACAGCTTTGAGAAGCTAGTATCTTTAAGAAAAACATTCTTAAAAATTAACTTTTTTCAACATTCGAATGTAAATTAGTTGAACTTCATTTTGGGGGTCTTGTTTCTTATTTCACTATACCTTGAAAAAGGCTTGAATGTATGAAAACAAGGGAGCATTTGTTCTCCCGTCCTGAGAGTGAGCTCCCTGCAGGTCCATCACATCTCGGAAGGTGAAGCTGCAGGAAGCAGAAGCGTTCGGCCATTTGCTACCACTTCTCTTCCCTGACCAAACACAATTCCCCTTGTTTAGAAACTCTGTTTTTTCATACCTTAGACAAATACTACTTTATGCACTAGTCTATAATACTTGGGAAATACTCAAGTCAACTTAAAGGTTTCAGGGCTGGCAAAATGGCTCAGTGGGTAAAGGTACTTGCCAGTCAGCCATGCAAGCTTGAAGACCCAAGTTTGATCCCCAGAACCTGCAGGAAAGTTGAAGGACAGAAATGACTCTGCGGAGTTGTCCTTTGACTTCCACAGCTCTGCTGTGGTAGACATACCTCCCCCCCCCACATCACACACACACACACACACACACATACACACAAATGTGCACACACACAATAAAAATAATAACAACAATAATAAATGCAATAGATTTTTAACTTTATAAAAGGTGTTGATAATCTTAACTAACAACAAAAATACATGGGGAACTGTGCTTTGCCCATTTTGTCATACAAGCAGGACACTAAAGAAGATGGCAAGGACGCCATACGTTAAAGCTGTTTGCTGTTCTCTGGGCAAGGAGACGATTACGTAAACAGGAAGTGGTGGTTGTGTTGGTCGTTGCATGAAAATCACTTAGAACAGTGGTATCTGGCTTGTGGTTGGTAAGCATGGTGTAGCTGGCATATTCTTCATCTAAACCTCCAGGGTCTGATGTTTGAAAATCCAACATTATAGGTACAGATGAGGCCATGAATGATCCTTTCCGATGGCTCATTTGTGTAGCATCCTCGCTTCATGAACTCTGAATTGGGCTGGAGAGCTCATCAGTTAAAAGAGCACACCTGTAACACCAACTCCAGGGGGTTCCAATGCCTCTGGCCTCCGAGGGCCCCTATGTACACAGGTATACAGCCACACACAGATAACACTCATAATATTTTTTAAAGATTCATTTATTATTTATACAGTATTCTGCCCGAATGTGTGCCTGTGCACCAGAAGAGGGCACCAGATCTCACCATAGAGGGTTATGAGCCACCATGTGGTTGCTGGGAATTGAACTCAGGACCTTTGGAAGAACAGCCAGTGTTCTTAACCTCTGAGCCATCTCTCCAGCCTCCTACACTCATAATCTTAAAATAAATCTTCATAAAATTTTATAGAAGTCTTTTCCTGCTATGTATATAAAGGTATATGTAAACACAAATGGATTTCATGTTTGTACTTGAGCTCTATCCCCAATACGTGTGTGTGTGTGTGTGTGTGTGTGTGTGTTCATGTTCTAAAACTTTAGAACCATCTAGAGTATGAAACACTAACCGTTCTAAGCATTTTGGATAAGAGCGGCTTGATGTGAGCTTGATTCAAATGTCTGTCTCCCTGATTGCTGCTGCTGTTGTTAATGCCAACTCAATGTGTATTCTCTGTGTAGCTGGGAAGATATAATGAGTAAAGTAAGTTTGAGAGAGGTTTTTGTAAGCTAGATCTGGAAGAGAAAGTAGGAACTGGCCAAAAAGATATAACAGAATATTCCAAACCACAAAATATACCAAGGTCCAGGGTATGGAAACCCTCAGGGAGCCAAGGATATCGGCAGTTGGAAGGGAGGGGTGTGCAGAGGACACACCACGGGGTTCCAAGGAGAGGAGGGCTGCCATAGCACTTAATTTAGGATCCTCAGCAGACAATGTGCTGGGGGAAAAGAACCCAGAGAAGGCCGAGGAAGACATCACGAGTGAGCCCAAAAGCCATGTGGCAGCCATGCTGTGGGTGGGGACCCAAGCTTGTGTGATATCCATGTTGGGGCGAATATTGGAGGGTCACAGAAGTAGCTTTGCCCAGAGGCTTTCTGGCTGTCCTAGGAAGCATTCTCTCCCACCACAGGGGGCAGAACGGACTACCCACATAGTGTGAATGAACCAAGCAGCAGGCAGCCTGTGGAGGCCTTGGCTGAAATCTGAACTGAGGAGCCGCCCAGTCCTGTCTGTGCTCTAGGGTGAGCTAGGCAGAGGGACAGAAACAGACAGGCGGAGAGAACGCCAACATTCCAAAGATCAGTGGTCAGAGCCGTGAAGGCTCTGCTTCCTAACAAGGGACCCTGAGTGTGAGGAGCAGACACTGCACTCCTCCGTGGCACACCTTCCTGAGCAGGACTCTTCTAGACAAGCTTGTAACCTAGACACGCTCAGCCCCACCTCCTCTCCAGGGCCAGATGAGTTCAGGGAATGCTGGGTAGGAGAACTACAAGACCTCTCCCAGAATGCTCTCGGAGAGCTGGTCTGACCATGCCCCTCATACTGTGGACTGTGTTTAGGTAGCTTGGATGACGCTGTCACAGAACCAAGGGCTTGGCTCTACTCCAGAATATATTAAGTTTTGGGTGCTACCATGGAGCCAATGGGTTCCCAGACCTTGGGCGAGCAGGGGTTACTGTTGTTTTGTTTTTTAATTAGTTTAAAAAAAAAAAAAAACTAGCATACAGAGTAATGAGTTTAATGACAGCATTTTCAAGTAAACTTTGGTCCTGAGACCCATCGCTCATCCCATCACAGATCCAGAGTACCCTGGTCAAGAAACGAGTTACTAAATGTTTGCTGGATAGTGTTCATGCTGTGCTGAGGCCTTCAGTTGATGCGCTGTAGCTATCCCGAAGGCCTGTCTCCAAGGCTGTGGCCCCAAAGTGTACACACGTGACATTCTGAGTTTTGTCTAATGCTCCCCGACTCACCCCTGCTTCTCGCCCTCCTTCTGCCACAGATCCTGGCGCCCCCGTGAAATTGCCTTGTCTGCCAGTGAAACTGTCGCCTCCGCTACCTCCAAAGAAAGTCCTGATCTGTATGCCCGTAGGGGGCCCAGAGCTCTCCCTGGCATCCTACGCGGCCCAGAAGAGCAGCCAGCAGGCCGTGGCCCAGCACCACCACACCGTCCTGCCATCCCAGGTGCAGCATCAGCTGCAGTACGGCGGCCACGGCCAGCACCTCCCGTCCTCCACTGGCACCTTGCCCATGCACCCCTCAGGCTGCAGGATGATTGACGAGCTGAACAAGACCCTTGCTATGACCATGCAGAGGCTGGAGAGGGAACGAGGGGGAGGGAATTGCCGGAGAGGGGGGACAGGCTGGGGGTAGAAGAGTGTGCCACCTTATTCCTCTCCCCTCGAGGAACACAAAAGGCTTGAGAGTAAAGTCGTGATCAAATCTCCGAGTATTGAGGGATGTGTGGGGGAAAGAGTATGTTTCCACTGTCAAACTAACGAGTAATCACATTTACTTTAAAAAAAAAAAAAGTGGAGAGTGAGTAAGGAATAGCCTTGCAAGCGTGAGGACCCAAGTTCAAGCCCCAGAGCCCATGTAAAAGAGCCAGGCGTGACGGGACATGCTCACAGTCCCAGCAACGAGAAAGCAGAGACCAGCAGATCCCTGTGACTCATTAGCCAGCCAGCCTAACTTACTCTGCAAGTTCCAAGTCAGTGACAACGTGTCTCAAAAGATAAGATGGCAGGTGCCTGAGGAACGACACCTGCTCACACACACACACACACACACACACACACACACACAGTCACATAATCACACACACAAAGGAGTAACATCCATACTAGACCATATTGTTCCCCTAAACATTGTCATTTTGAGGAATAATGTGTGCCTGTGATCCTTATTCATCATCTTCCTGCCCCGGTGTAGGGAAATGGAGAGAGAATAATTTTGTATTCCATATTATATGGCTTACTTTTAACGTTGTGTGCATGTTCTGTGACGAACAGGAAGAGATGAGAGCTGGCAGCAGGGGATGGCAAGGGCAGGCACATTAGAAGAGTGGAAAGATTTGGCCCCCTTCCTGCCGAAGAGAAACAAGAGCACTGAGGTGCAGTGATATCTATGCGAGCCGCTGGTGTGACCCCCATCTTTCAGAAACGGCTCCCGCACACATTTCTGGGAAGCCACAAAGAATGCTCTCCCCCACCCAATCTACAATCTGGCCTCCACTAAGGGGGCGCCTTCTGACAGTGGTATGCCAGGACCACTGCCACCCTACCTCCTGCCTAGGGAATGTGACCCCAAGGCACATTGCTTGAACCTGAGCTCACTAAGGACAGGGAGAAAGTGTTTCCATCTGAGCTGATATTGACAAGAGCAGACGTCTAATGAGACGTACAGACAGGAAAACTGTGGTCTGGGAGGCTCCGTGGACTGCCACAGTAGAGAGCTAAACACACACTTACCTTCTGCCTCCCAGCCAGGTGATGTTATGTGGGGAAACGGCTACCTCCCAGGGAAGCTGTTGCCGATAACAGTCCTGACTTGATTGCCTTCCGTCAGTAGTCGCCGTGGTTGCCAAAGAAAAGCACACACTTTAACCTGGCCCTTGCCATTGGGTCCAGCTACCAGTATTGTTGATGAGGGGCAACATTAGCTTTAAGGGACACATTGAGACATGCCGCAGTCACACCGCCACCATGTTCAGCCCTGTTGTATTCACGCTCACGCCACCTAGGGAAACTGAGGAAAGGAACTAGGGAAGGTCGAGGAAGTTCCCCAGCAGACGCCTCACAAACGTCTCATTACCTGTCTGCACCCACACTGCAGAAACTGAGGGCACGCTTTTCAATACGTTTATAGCAATAAGACAGGATCTGTTTGCCTGTTGAGTCTTAAAAGGCTTCATTAAAAAAAAAAAAAAGACATTGCATTTTATGCAAGGATCCATTTGTGACCGACTGAAAATTAAATTAAAAAGTAAGAATCTTTACTTTGGGAGCTGGCGTGATAGCTCAGTGGGTAAGAGCACGGGCTGCTCGTGCAGGGGGCCCTGGTTTGCTTCACAGCACCCACATGACTGCCCACAAGCGTTTGTAACTCCAGTTCCAGCGGATCCAGTGCTCTCTCTGGCCTCCATAGCACCAGGCATGCACATGCTACACATACACGTGGACAGACACTCATGCACATTAAGAGTGACTCTCAAAAGAAGTTATTTCTACGCGCAGGTTTGAAAAGCACTGCCCTATACAGGAAGTTGGGGAGGCTACCCTTCAGTCCTGTGTCGTTCTAGCCAAACCCCTACCCCTAACTCACTCTCTCTGTCTCTCAGTGTCTCTGTCTCTATCTATCTATCTATCTATCTATCTATCTATCTATCTATCTATCTATCTATTTCCTTAAGGTACATACCAATCAATAGATTTTGAGTTTTTATGTCTCAGGTAAATTTTTATTATGGAAACAAAGACATCAGAGATAGCATATTAGGACATCACTAAACATACTTTCACTTCAAACATGACCTTTCACAGTGTATGTGGGTATTTGTGGAATGTTTGAGTCAAGTTTAGAGTGATGATGACTCCTCTGTAGGTCCTTTGCTGGACTGAGCTCTGAAATAAAATGAATCAAAGAACAAACCAGGACAGAGATGGTGAGATAGAGGAGAGGGGCCACAGAGTGGTGTTGGCAGCTGAATCAAGACTGCTGACACACTTTGTACCACCCTGGGCCCTGTTACTTCCTTGTGCCTCTTCAACTGTCACCCAGGCCCCGGCATAGGCTCACCTCACACAGCAGGAGGACAAAGAGAACCAACACAAGACCACTCATCCTGAGAGAGAAAAATCCTCTTCCCAAATAAATATAAGTTGGGAAGATTTGTCTAAGTATTTAGTTTCTCCTGGGAGCTGGAGACGGATCTGAAACCACATCCAGGTCATGGGCCACTTTGTTCTGTAACAAGAGAACTGTTGTCTGAGGCAGTGGTCCTCACCCTTTCACTACCTGAACCCTCCAAAATGGTATCAGCCTTCACCTGCCCAGGCCTCATAGAAAAGGAGTTATTTCCCTATCCACCTGACAGTTTCTAGGGACCCCAAACAACGCTGCAAGGGGAAGAAATATTACAGAACACGACAGCATTGTCCTTGTGAAGGGCTTTGGCCTTCATGTGAGGGCCATCACTGTCCCCTGAGACCTAGGAGGAAGTCCCCTGTAGAGTATCATTCCAGAATTATCTGATCCTGAAGAGGTAACACGTGGAATCAATGGAGAAATTAGACAGCACTGGATTTGGACACATACTTTTATCTAAACATCTGTCTTGCCTGTGAAGGGAACTTGAAGGCAACTGTAGGTAGCTAACCCCTCTCCGTATCGAATTCCTGTTTGTCCTCTAACCTGCTCGGGGAACCTTGATGAGTTCGGAGGCAATGTTCTCACTCTGGGGATGGTCTGAGTAAGTTATGACGCTCTCCCTGTTAAAACTCAGTCTCCTTAGCCTTGATTCTGATCTCCCTGTTAAAACTCGGCCTCCTTAGCCTTGATTCTGATCTTCCTTTCCTAGGAAACACTCTTAAGTCTTTCGAGATAGCTATGGTGTTCTCTACCTAAGGGCTTCACTGACCCTCTTGACATCTTGCGCAGGTTCCTCTGAGATGACCTTAGATCTTTTCAGATTTGTACCCATCTGACCCTGCTGTACAGTTTATTTACAGTGTGGGTTCACCAGGCTTCATGGAGGGACACAGAGAACAGGAACAAGAAGCCTCCAGGGTCTGTAGTTAGCCACAGTCACAGAGGTTTCCTGTTTATCCCGCCTCATGGTCAAGTGAGTGTAACCCAGCATCAGGATTTGGATCTCAGACACGCTGCTGCAGCGTGACCTGAAGCGTGTTGTAAATCTGTAAAACAAGGATAATACTAACAGACCAGCCTCGTTAGGGCTCTCTGTGAATATCAAATGATTTAATCAGTCCTAATCCATTCATTGAACAACATACCATAAATGTCCAGTAAATGGCAGTGAGCATTAAGCAAAATTATCTGGCACATAAAACTTTGCTTCAGTGCCTCTAAAAGGCACATTGCAAATGGATTTGATCTGATTTTATTGGGGCCTCAGCGTGTGTGTGTGTGTGTGTGTGTGTGTGTGTGTGTGTGTGTGTTCGTGTTCCAGTTTCTTTAAATTACATGATCCTTATTTCTCTCCATAGGTGATTGGCATCTTTTTGAAAAGTGCTATTTTACCATTTTAAATATTATGCAGGGTTTTCATTTTTGAGTTTCTACAGTAAGCTCTGCAGTCTAATTGGCATCAGTTCTAGAGCTTGGACTTTTTGATTCCAGCCAGCCACTCACTCTTTCTGAGGTCAATCCATTCCGTGCTCTCATTTCCTGTGGGCAAAATGAAGTGGGATATGAAGGGATTCTAGAAAAATCCTCCCGGGGCTACGCTTTTAAAGAAGCCTTTTCCTCCTTGATTAAAGGCAGGCCCATACCTACAGCTGCTCACGTGGAAGCCTAGGGTCACCCACAGGAAGCCCCACACCCGACTGTCGGCAAATCCCGCCCACTCTGCAGTGTGCACAAGTCCTGCTTCTGCAGCTCTGCTCCCTGCTTCTGATGTTCCGCTCTCCTCTATTGTCCTCCCCTACCCTAGCAGCTGCCCCTTCCCCGCCCCCATCCCCAGCACAGTGCTCCAAGAGAGAGTGTGGCCCCCTGGGCTACCCCTAGAGCAACACAGCCTGGGTGGCCCAAACAACAAAGACAAAGCCCAAGATCATCCAGCTGGGGCCTCCTCTGTGTCATCTCCAGGTAGACAGTGAAGGGTTGAGAGCAGTCAAGGGTGAGAAAACGGGGTGACATCTGCTTTTATAACGAATTTATTCTTACGATAAGGACCTCGCCACCCAGACAATGTCAATTTTCTCATGAAATCAGGGTCCTCATGACCTGACCGCATCTCAACAGGATTGTGCTGGGGCTTAGGTTTCTGATGGATGGATTTGGGGGGATGCCTTCTAATCACGGGAAGATCCATCCACAAATCTTTGCTGAGTAGCTGCTGTGGAGCAGCCTTTGTGTCTGGTGCTGGGGAGTGAACAATGGAGACAAGGGAGAGATAGCTCCTGTCAGCAGAACCTTGAGTCCCTGGGAGGTTGGACTGAGTGAGCCCATCTGCAAAGGGCACAGGGTGGGAGCAGCATTTACAACAGGACAATTGGCTGTTTGGGGGGGAAGGGTTACCCAGGGTCCATGTTCTCTGACAGTTAAAGAAAAGAGGCTGGCCAGATGATGCAGAATAAGAA